CGCCGAGCCGTATGGCCAGCCGTCGCGACAGCCGCACTATCTGCCCAGCCCCACTGCAGGTCCGTACCCAGCTCATTCTGACTATGGTCCGCCTAGTGCTTCTCCAGATGAGGCGACCCGTGACGCGCTGGCAGGCAGGAAGAGACTCCACCCAGAGCCTCACACTCCTACCCTGCCTCCGCCGCATCCTGGCTCAGCGTCACAGGCCCCTCATCGAGGCACTGGGCAAGATTATGCCTATCCAGAGCCACCGTCTCTAACATCGGGCGCTTCAACAGCATCGACCCCCGCTCCCTACTCATCCGCACCTCCTCCCGCCCAACCATACTACGCTGCTCAGCCTCCGCGTCAAGGCTCCCCACAGAGCGCCTATCGCTACGAGCCGAGTCGCACCTCGTCCTCGCCACACTCCCAAGCACCCACGACCCCTGGTGCCCCGCCGACGCCCTATTACGCAGCTCCACCGCAGGCCAACGGCGTCTTGCAGCCACCACCCGCGCGCACCGATGGCAGAACCCCACCGCCACCTACATCGCAAGCCTCGGCTAGGCCCAGCATGCGCATCAATGATCTCGTAAGCGATAATGGCCCCGCCCGCAGCTCGACCGATTCGTCCATGCTCAACATGCTCAACCGCCGCCCCATGTAAAAATCTGCCTCGCGCAAGTGGAGACGCTCTGGAGCTGGTCTTTCGAGAGCGCTACACATTTCGGATTAAGCGAAGAGCAAAGAGCAAAATTTCCCATCGAATCTGTCAGCCGTCGTTTCTGCTTTCCAATGTACAATCCATCTTCGCGTCCAATCGACGTTTGCTATCGCAAGGAGTTCTGGCTGGCAACAGCGTGATTTCTGGGCGGCTATCTGAATCTTCAAGAGCGACAAAGATCTTTCAACGTTTTCTACTTTAATACTCAAGGATCATCCTACTGTCTCTCCCGGTCTTCCATCTCGAGTGACCTAAACTACTACACTGGGTGGTTATTCTGTCTTTTCCCGCAAACATTAGAACTGGGGTTGCATCATCACATGGAGGCTTCGTTGATATTTGCATCATCGTAGCGTGGGTTGGGTCCGGCATTCATGTGCTTCGCTGCATATTGGCTGGGGTAGTGGTCGCTTGTGCTTTTTGGTGCCTCTTTCCTATCGTACGTTTTTACGCTGGTTTTTCGCGGTATTCCCCTTCTCGGCCTGTCTCTACCGCATCGGAAAGTCTATATGGGAACTATTACTGGTGGGTGGCAATCTGATTTAAATCGCAAAGCACTTTGAGAAAGCGAACGTTTCGCGCATCGTCTTGTACGTAGTCTCCTTTTTTCTTTACTAGCTATCTAAATTGGAGACGTTCGCTGGTGCAATACTTGCTCGACCCTCTGCATGCCTTGATGAACGGCGCACTGCATTTGGAGCACGTCAGTGCTGATGTGCTCATGTTCAATGCCGCATTTCCGAGCTGATCCTACCCGTCGAACCACTTCTGATGCCCAGGTCGATCTGTCATGCTCACCCATCGCTCCTGCCTGCAGTGCCAACCAGCCTGCCCCTTGTACGACGGTATTGCCAAGACACGTGCCAGTGATAAATTTTGACATGCAAATCACATGGCACGTTACGCACGAGAAGCCACGCAGGGCAGCCGATGGTAGGTACACGAGAGCGGGTACGCACGTGTTGCACCTTCCTTTCCAGGGCAACACGTTCCATCCAAAAACAAACGTCAACCAGATTCAGCCACCTCCACGCCCCGATCTTGATCCCATGGGGCGGACTTTGTTTTGGTATCGATTGTACCGTTACCATACCAAGTCTTCACTGACACTTGCCTGACAGGTGTACGTGCATAATTCAATTACGCCCACACGGAAAGGCACCGCACAGCACTTCTACCACGGTACGGCCTCGGGGTCTCGGCGAGCCGGAGCGCTGCTACCACGCAAGTTTCGATCTGTCAGTCTCGAACTACATCGGCACGGGACGTGATGGGTTCCACGGTAGAAAGCCAAATGGAATCATCTCAGCCCGTCGACTAGAACGTCGCCGTCTGTCATCTCGCGGTACGGCGCGTCCTGGCATGCACGATGTAGTCAACATGATTTCACCATTACCACTATCATGATTGTGTCTCGCGGCTCAGACGCAGGGTGGACTACCATCGTCCGATGATGGCTCGATGGTACTATGCACTTGCACCAAATGCCACCAGACATCAGTTGAGGCTCTAGATTTCTAGCGTACCACGATACTACTTGGCCAGCTGATGAGCCCAAAGGCTCTATTACTCTTCTGTCTCCTCAAGCTGCCGCGCGGTGCAGCATCGTACCAGAGGTCAGGTTCTGGATCGCACTCCGCCGATGTTGACCTAATGAACGAAGGGCTTGGCCATACGCATGTCTCATATCCACTGGCTATTGACACGCTGGCCGTTGCATGGTTTGGCCGCTATAGCGTACCGTTCAAACTCGCCCTTGACTAACGGAACGGTGCGAGCAGGCAGGACCTGTTTGATTCGCTGCCACAAGGGGAGACAACTCCGTCATGAGAACTGCCAGAGCATGCAGGGCAAAAAAGCAAAGACGTCGAGTTTGGTTCTAAAGTGATTTAGCGCACCGCCGTCTGCCTGCCTCGACGCGCATACTTTCTTTGCCTGGGCCGCCAACACGGACACTATTCAGCTGACATATATCGCACCACTCAATTTTTCCTTCAGGCAGACAGACAGGTCGTTTTTCCATGGTTCAGGGTTGCGGCGATGTAATCGAATCTGGAAAAGTATATCGTGGGTAACCGCATGTCACGAATCAACATTAGCCTGTCAGCGTTTCAGTCGAGCAAGAATTATCTTGCTCTCATAAGCCAGCCAGGACCAGGGGTGGTTTCTAGTATGCGACTCGCTTTCAGCCGATCGTAATATAGTAATCCCTCACACATCTATAGGGTCAATCGCTGTTGTACGAAACGAACGTGCTCGGTAACCCCCTCTAACTCCGAATTCGGACCTGGTCAAGCTAAATAGTCGTTGCCCGTCACGGGACGGTGCGAGCAGAAGTTTCGAGCCGGGATGTCGATGTCGCAAATAGCCGGCTAGACTGAGTCGAGCAACGGGCGAGCCCTGACCTTTTCCCTTCCTTGTACAAGTCATGTTAGTGTACCGCTCTTTGTCTTCCTTCCTTTGGGCTTCGCAATCGCATCTCGGACGGAGCAAGTCCGAAGCCCTTGGTGTAAGCTGTAGTGAGAAAATGTAGTGCTGACCAATGGAAAAAAAGGTTCCGTTGGTGTACGATAGCGAAAGTCAAACTCTCAAGCGCGTTCAAGGCAGTTTTGATCATGATCCTGCACATCGCATAGCCCGTCGCGCACCCTTGGCAACAACACACGGATGCAATTTTTTGCGCGTGCTTTGCATTCGGGAGCAAGCACACGAGGCGCCTCCACAAGTCATTTTTTCCCTCTGGCTGGCTTAGCCAGGTGCTGTGCTGTTGCTTGCCGCTGTCCGCCCGGCAGAAAGGATTCCCACCCTGGACCCATTTCCTCCGTGCCATCCCTTGCAACCACGCATGGCATGCTGTAACCGACATGTCAAATGTGCCACGTACGCCTGCGACCCCATCAGTTCCGCCGCCCGAGCCGTGTGTGTGTGCTCGCGTGTCGAAATCTGCGTTCCCATCACACATCCATCACACATCATCGCCTGACGGGAAGCAAGCAGCCTCGCCTTGCCTTGACTTTGAGCTTTTGCCAGTGCCAACGAACTACGCCGCATGGGCCGATCGTGTTGCTATCCCTGTTGGCGTGCTTTCCTAAGCTATCAGCATGCTTACCACACCACGCCATTCCTTCGTCCATGTAACAACACTATTCTAATTCCACATGCTACATCCCACAAGCTCTCAGCGCTTAGAGGAAAAACTCACTGCATGCACCATCCCCCTCCCTCCCTCCCTCCACCAACAAACCAGCGGTGAGCAGCGGGAAGGAGCCCTGACCTCCCCTGTGCTTGACCCTCTCCGTGCCCACTGCCCATACCATTGCTCTACTCTTAGCGCCCTGTAGCATCGGCCCCAAGGATCTAGCGTACCGTGTTTCTTGCAGCGGAAAAGGGGTTAGGTTGGCTGGCGGCCTCGCTCGCTGGGGAGCCATGTGCGTGCGGTAGGGATCTGGGTTCATGCGGCGGACCGCAACATGTCAGGTTAAAGTGGAGATTGGGACGAGGGCAGGCGGGCGGTTTGGCCGATTTTCCTTTCTGGTGACGCGGGGTGCGAGGGGATGAGCGAGGTTGGAGGGGGGCTGTGCGAAGTATGTTGGAGGTGGGACGAGACATGTTTTGTGCTATGTTGGGTGGGCTGTCGCGGTTTCTTCACCGTGTCACTGCTTGACATGCGCAGTATGATTATGACTCGATGGAAGCGGCACAGCAGTTCCTTCGCGTCTAATGAGACTGCGCCACTTGCAGGCATGATAGATTGAGGCTGCTAATTGCTCGTCTTCAAGTCGCATAGAGATAGACAGGCGCTATGCTATGTACGGATGATCCCATTGCTAAGCTACACGTTTACTAGAAACACGAACGTATCCGCGGATACGTATCAGTTGGTCATATCTTTCCGACCTGTAGGTATGAGCCGTAAAGGCTTCTACTTAGATACTATCTCGAACGGCGCTTTCAAGCCCCGGAAAGCGCACGTAGCTCAACGAGCTTCCGATAACGTCTTTGAGATGGCTTGGTATATCTGAGCTCAGAAGGATTGTTCAGGATGCATATCCCACCTCGTCCAAGGAAAAAGAACTGAACAGGTCTGCAGACTACATTGAAACAAAAACTTGCAAAGTAGGTGACCCAACGTCAACGTAGGCTCCAGGCTGTTCAAATTTTCCCTAGGTGGGCGTGATCCTCATAACGGCCATCATGGCGATCCTTCGCCATCTTTGAGGCTATTGCATGTTCATGCGCTGTCTTCCTCCTCAACCTTGCTCAATGCGAAATGGGCCCGCTGAATCCCAAAACATCAATGCATATCCTCCAGTTGCATTTTCGCCCACTTCTGAGGCTCAGGGATATGGCGAGGGCTGCAGTCAGCATACGGATCTTTGGTGCAGAGCTTCCATCTGCCTCTAAAGAGATCCCATTTCTCTTTCAATGGCTCATTCATCGCCGCCATCGATGCCATTCCAACCCAGACGTACTGCTTAGCGACTTCTCCTTTTACTGTATAGCAGTTTCTGTCCTCCGTCGCCTGTTTCCAGGACTTCAACTCCGAGAAATTGATCGAGACCGGTCCAATGATAAGTGTGGACTTGTCAAGCTTCTTTTGGATATCCGCAGGGTAAATTAACTCCCTTGTGGAATGCCAGACCAATTTTTTCCAGTCGTCTCCGAAAGGCAGAGCCCAGACACCTTGTCCTTGTAAGAGATGGGTAGGTACCAAAGCCCGGATGACGCAGACATATGTTGGTGATTTGATGCGGCTGCATGTATATGCTGCAAAGTGTTCAGAGACCCAGTGTTGAGTGCTCCAGCAGTAACCCCTTCTTTCATTGTGGAAGTCACCTGTATGGATTCCTCTTCCGAATTGGAAATTCAGGTCGAGGTTGAGCGAGTGTTCCCCAAAAACTCTCTCGAGTTGTGCTGCTGACGTTGACCGGTAGAGAGTTGTGTGACCAACTTGGGTCAAGTGGTACTTTGACCTGTCCTCAGGGGCGCCGCCACGTAGCGAAGCGAACGGGGTCTTACCGGACTGAAGAACAGCCAGGTTTCGGTTGAGTCGTTCACTTAGATTCTTGAGTGTCCAAAGATTTTCGAAGATAGTCTCCAGTATCCAGTAACTCAACCACTGGGTGCTTCTCACGTCTTCATACTCAGGGTCCATGACCTTCTCTTGCAATTCTGCGGAAATTCCGATCTTACTCATACTGGTCCGCTCGTCATCAGAATCATGACCGCCGAAGTTCACAATGCGAGCGATCATGGCGTCTTCGAGGTCGCCTTCGTCGTCAAGGGCCCAGATATCGAGGAGCCACTTTGAAGCGCTTGCCGTGAATCCTATAAATTCGAACGCTTGGATAGAATAGAGGTTGAGTGGAACCTCAAGGTCAGGATGCGCATGTTCCACTTCGGCAGAGGAGGATGTCGTGCTTGATGCCATCACAGTATCCGGAGGTGATAATATTTGACCGGAGATTTTTCTTGTACCGTTCACCGGTTCTCCAATAAGCTTGTCGTCAAACTTCTTAACGTTGGAAAGCACCCATTCTGAGATGATATCGTTCGGCAGACCCATGATGGGCGGAGGTGTGGTTTCGTGTCACCGAAAAGATGAGTGGCGAGAGTAGGTTTTTGGAAAACCAACTGTCTTTGGTAAAGAAAGAAAGACGAAGGAAGGAAAGAAAGAAAGAAAGAAAGAGAAGCGCAGACAGAATTTATATGGCTGTGGAAAGTGAAGGCAGGGTAAGAGCGAAGTAAAGGTGGGGCGAGAGCGCGAGTGAAGTCGGAGTGAGAGCGCAAGTGAAGGCAGAGACTAGCGCGTGACCGTAGAGTCAGAGGATTGCGATCTCTCTTATTCGATAAGGATTACCTTTGCGTATGTGGTGGTTATGTATTTCGGGAGTCATGAGTGGCTCGTCTCGCTCTGCGTCATCGCAGTACCACGGATGGAATGGAAGGAACCGAAGTATGGGTCGATACTTCATCTATCCACTCGCCCAAGGCGTGTAAGCAAAACAAGAGATGTTACGGCATGAATAAGGCGGACAACATGATGGATATGCGGCCATTGAAATGGCTTCAGCCTTGCTGTCAGCTGATACAATGGTGGGAATAGAGTATTCAAAAATGAATGCTCACTCCTCTGACCTTTTCAGCACTCACGTCCGTGCATAGTACGATATAACCAGGTCTGGTTTACATTTGCTTGAAAGAGTTATCTAGGTCTACAGTGTGAGACGTCTCACGATAGCTCCCGCTTGAAGTAATCTCATACACTCTTCCACCACCTTTCGTTGGTACCTCGACTAAGGTTTTATCTACCTTTATTGAAGTCTTCGCTTCGCACACTCTCAGTCTCAGAAATGTACTGTCTAATACCCTTGTACCTCCACCTTCTGAAGTATGCATTGGGCGTGGTAGCTGGGCAATCTAGCCCTGGTCCAGCTCCATTGCAAGTAGCATACACACCAATCAGCGTTCCTACGAACGAGCCAGATGGACTCAGCTGCTCTGTTGAAGCTCTACCAAACGAGATCGGTCTTGACTTGCCGTGCGCTAGCATAGCCGAAAAGACATAAGTCCTTGGATCCGGCATCGTGATCTCGAAGCGCATAGGCTTTCCAGACCAAGATGCGGGCACAGGCGTCTTCTTCTCCTCATGTTCCGTAGAGTTGTAACGCAGATACGTCGACCCATTACTGCGCATGAGTCCGAGCTGGATGTTTGCCGTCTGCCACAGGAAAGCGGTCACACCAGCTTCTTCACCATCAGCTTTCGGGTCGAAGGATAGATCTACGCTAAACTTGAACGTGCTATCCGTCTGACGGCGCCCGATGAAGTTCACAGCCCTTGAAGCTGGGTCAGACCCGCCTGGCGAGCCGGCGAGATTGTTGCGACCAAGAGCGACTTGCAGACCCTTTTGCGAAGTCTTGAACGCGCCTTCGCGAGGAACACGCCAGTAGACGAGGTTGCGTGGAATTGTCGAGTTTTGAGGGAAGTCGTAAACATCTGGGTCCGAGTTGAAGGGTCCATCACCCGGAACATCTCTTGAGCGCGCAGGTAGTTGCCAGCCAGTCATCTTGCCTCTTACAGGTTGGAATACGGGCCACTCGCCTTCCTCCCACGTAACTGGCGTGAGTACCATTTCGCGCCCCATGGGGAAGGATGTACCATTTGGACCCACGCGCGTCGCGAGCGCGCAAGACCACCATGCGCCGTTGTTATCTTGGAAGAGGTCTGCGTGACCAACGGTCTGGAAGTACTCTGATGTACCGCGGTTCGTCAGATGTGGGTTGTATGGGCTGGGAGAGTAAGGGCCCGTGATGTTTCTGGCGCGAGCCATGGTGACTGAGTGGTCTTCGGCTGTTCCGCCCTCGGCAATCAGCAGATAATACCATCCGTCTTTCTTGTAGAAGTGTGGACCTTCGGGCCAAACACCGCCGGTGCCATTCCAGAGCGAAATTACAGGTCCCATTTCGCCAGTATCGATGTCCATCTCCTGCACGATGATTCCCTGGGTTGCGACATACACTTTGCCGTCATCATCCCAGAAAATATCGGGATCGATCTTGGGAGCCTCGAACGTCACTGGATCGCTCCATGACGCGTCGTCGAAAGGATCTGTGGTCCTGAACAAGACACCTGCCTCCATGTCTGATCCGAGATATTCGCAGATGACGTAGAAGACACCCTCGTGGAATCGCAAAGTCGCTGCGTACATGCCTCTTTGTTGACCATCGCTGGAATAACTATAGCCCAAAAGCTGTGATTCACGGTTCCATACGTGGCTGATGTGTTTCCAGTCGACTAAGTCTTTCGATGCGTAGATGGGCAGCCCGGGGAAGGATATGAAGGTGGAAGTTACGCAGAAGAACGTCCCGTTCACGTTGACGCATGATGGATCGCTGTGCCAACCTGGAAGTACTGGGTTGAGGAACGTTGAGTTCTGCGCGAGCGCTGGAGCTGCGCATGCGAGGACAGTTGTCACGATGCTTCGTAGAAACCGCATCGTGAAGAATTCCAGAGGGTCTCGACAGAGTCCACTCTCTACGCGGCAAGGTGGGACGCTTTATGCGTACCGTCGACCTTACGACCAAGAGGCTGGTACTTGCCTGCTGTGGAGAAGCGCGATCGACGGCCGTCTCGCGTACCAAATTGTGCCCATTTAGCCAGACTGCTTCCGCAGTGCTATTGCTGTTGTCATCGAACACACAACGTATTTTAACCGTTATGCAGGGTGACGCGAATATACGATGAGCTGCAGAGCCACCGGGCTTAATGAGCTTCCCAGATCCGAGGCTTCATAGAGATTGCGGAGAAATGTATGTTGATCTTCGCGAATGCGCCCGCTGACGTAAAGTTTTTCCGTGCCTGGTGATCGGATGCTGTGAAGCTTTCCAGAAACTCAGTGTTGCGTTCCGTGGAACGCAGGTACGTGGCTGGATGCAAGCTGGCTGTCGTCAAATATCACATGCTTGAAGCTACACACCATCATCGCACTTAATTATGCGAATGAGATCGAGTATCTAGAAGGAAGTAGGCAAGATCGGGCTCGCTGTTCGGAACATTGAGTTCCAAGTACGCGGGGCCGTTAGATGGTTCTGTTCAGGCAGGAGCGGGGTGCCCCGCTTTGGGGAAGCTCAACTCCGAGATCGCCTCATGCAAGGAAAAGCTGCATACCCTAGAGCCTACATTAAGGTAAAAACATGCAAAGTTAGAAGCTTAACGTCAACGTAGGCTCTAGGGTGTTTAATTTTTCCCTTGTATAAGGTGAACTCGCGCCACTAGTTAAACTTACCAAGACGACGAGCAGGCTGGTAGACACGTGCACATCTAACACCCTCATGAAGATAGCTATACACGTTGAAGTGTATTGGTTGATCAATCTGACCAGCTATCTGCATGCATACCCGATAACACTGAAGAAGAACCTCCCGATACAAGTGCCCTTAACGCCAGTCCATCATTTGTCTTTTTTGCGTATATCCTTCCCACTTTCTCTATTCAAAACGAGCAGACTCCGGCCAAACTCCGCCAATCCTGCACGGAAGCCTGCACGGAAGCCTGCGCGCCAGCGATCAAATCCGACAACCTGAACCGCTCTGTTCCGTCGGCGTCGCCGTGCGGGGTTTTCAGGTTCCGCCTGAGGCTGAGGTGCCACGGGGGGCTGAGGTGCCACAGGCAGATCCTCTTCCCCGCCATCGTACGTGTATCCAGGAGGCGGTATTCCGCTTGGAACATGGCTTCCGATTAAAGGCCGACGTTCGCTTGGGCCTTCATACGGAGTATGCTGGATTGAGCTTGTGCTGTCGTTGGGTGGTCCTGTGTAGGGCAAGATGTCCATACTGTGTGATCTGGACGCATTACGGGACCCAGTGAGCGGCGCATTTTCGAATTGAAATGGACTACCGAGACGTGGACTGGGGGAAAAATAGTCACCGTCGTGCCAAGGCCTATTTAAGAAGGCTGCGCTGAATGGGTGCGCTGATGGTCCAGCCGTCGAGGCTGCATCATTCGAAGCTCGTTGCAGTTCATTCTGCTCATGGAAGTGCTCAGATGCAGCGGCTGATAAGTCGGAAGAAGAAGAATACCCAGACGACACAGAGCCGGGGGACCCCCCAGGTAAAGCTTGGTCTTCGGCAGAGACCTCAGTGGAGTCGTAGAAATCATCACCTGCTGGCATGTCGTGATCGAACTCATCGTGTTCTCCTGGCAGTCCAGCGCCTCCTCGAAGAGTACCAGTTGTGATCTTGTTTGGTCCCGACGCATGGTTTGCATACTCGTCCGAAGTACGCTGCTGACTTGTATACGTCAAGTCGATCGTTGTCGGGATTTGCTGCGAGTCTGTGGGCCGAATAGCGAGTGCCTGAGGTAGCTTTGCGGCATGTGTGTGTATGTGCGAAAGTACGGAAGCATCGTCCGAGCTATTGAATACGCCTCGCGAGTAGGGAAGAGCTGCCATGATAACGATGGGTCGGAGTATGCTGGTTGGATAACGAAAGCCAAGCAATGTAATACTGGTAGAATAAGCGGTGATCGGGTCGGGATGATAGAGTTGCGTGGGAGAAAAGATGTTGGCTTTGTTGATGCCTATAGTAGGCGGAATGGGATTGCGCCTGCGTTCTGTATGTGCCTCAAGGCGGAACTTCTTTCCCATCCCAGTCCCAACACTTCCCTCGTCCTTCAGGCGCCACTTCCCTGATCACATCAATCAGCCTTTCTGCGACCCAGTCGCGCTCGAACAGCTTCTCCTTCTTGACGTTGCTCCAGAAGTCCTTGCTCAACCCTGTTTTGACAGTTCCAGGATGCAAGGCAACCGCCATCGCATTGTCGCCGGAAGCAGTCCTCAGATGATTATCGAAGGTCTTGACTACCTGATTGACGCCAGCTTTTGAAGCGCGATAGCTGTACCATCCTCCGAGGCGGTTGTCGCTGATACTGCCAACTCGAGCTGACATGATAGCAATCGTAGCTACATCTGGTAAACCTGTCATGTCCTCTTGGTCCTTATCGACGACCGCGCTTTTCCTTGGAAGGAAGGGAGAGAAGTGCTTGAGCATCAGCATTGGGCCTAACGTGTTGGTGCGGCTGGGTTTTGGTGCATCAGATCAGCACATGTATCATGTAAACCTGGGATAGCGGCATTACTCACAAAGTCAGCAAAGCATCGTCGGCGTTGATCTGGGCTGGTGACTTCTCCGGAAACAGAATTCCAGGAACCATCAGCGCGAGCTGAAGCTGACTGGGACTACCGCCGAACTGCTTTTTGCAGGTCGCTGCGGCATCCGCGATACTCGTCTCGTCTAAAACGTGGTCAACACTTGATCATCATTGTACACACAACACCATCAATGCTGGTGACATACCCAGAACATCCAACTTCATCACCGACAATCGCGACTCGTCGACATCCAAGCCATCGAGCAACTCTTCCTTGGTCTTGTCAAGGTCCTTCCGCGCCGTTGCGACAACGGGCGCGTTCGTGGTTTGCAACACCCGTCTTGCGAGCGCGAAGCCTATGCCCCGCGAGGCAGGTGAGATCAATGACCACGGCGGCATCGCGACGGATATGAATGAAAGACAGTAAGAGATGCCATGGTCACGACATTCCGGTAATACTTCACGAGCTACGCGAAAAGTGGTCGGGACGCGATCGATGATGACATACATGCCCGTGGATCGGCTAGTATAACTTTGGTTAGCGTCAACACACTAGCGCGGTCTTCACCCAGCTCCAGCCTGGCTACACTCAGGGCATTCACTCTTCACGAATGGAGACATGTTGGGACAGCACAGCATCTATGTCTTTCTCTCATACATGGCAAAGGACCGTACGATATCCTGACTCGACATGAGTAGCACCCGAGCTCTGTATCGCAAGTAGCGCAGCCAGAATAACGCATCGTCACCTGGGCAGTCCGCAATAAAATACAATGTGTGCAGCAGTTCCAAAGTCTCATCAACCAACTCATCTTGACACAGCAATAAAGACGAGTAGAGCTAGGTCATGCTCTTCGTCTACGCCCTACTCGTCATAGATATCGATATCGAACTTGTCCCAGTCGTTAGGCTCCTTCACAGCTCCTGCGCTTGCCGGCTCCGCACTATCGTCCATCTCTGATTCCTGTCCTTTTTGCTCGCTACGTCTCGCCTCTCGCTGTTCGAAGTCCGTCTTCTGCTTCTGGGCCCATTTCTCGCGCATGTCGTTCTTCTTGGTACGGCGCAACGCGGCTTGTTCCTCCTTGGCGATCAACTGCTCTTTTACTTTCTCGATCTTGGCGTTCAAGTCTTTCTCTTCAGCGGCGGCGGCGCGTTTTGAAAGATTGCGGCGTGCTCTTGCAAGGTCTTCCTTGGCTTTGAGCTTCGCTTTCAGCTCGCGCAGACCGCTGCTCACTTCATCGAGCCTAGTCTTGATGTCCACTTGAGCAAGTCGAAGCTCCTCGTCCCTATCTTTCCGAGCGATGGATTGTTTGGATTTGTAAACGATCTCTGACTCGTGGGATATGAGGCTGGATACTGCATCAGCTGGCTTTGGGTCGTCTGCATCGCCACCCGTCATGGGAAGTCCTTGTTGGAGAGGGAGAGCAGGCGGCTTGTACTCTTCCGCGCTCTCGCGACGTGGTTGAACCGGGCCTTCAGCTTCTTGCTCCGCCTTTTCGGGGTCTGCGGTCGTGGCCATGTTTGTGAGAGACATCGCTGTGTAAACTGGCAGCACGGAACAAGAGGTGTGAGTTGTTGTAGCAGTGAGCTTGATCGAGAGGTAGCGGGGGAGTTTGCGTGATCTGCCTAGAGATTTAAAGTGTCGAAATTTCTGCGCAAGGCGAGCGTAGTAGTCCAAGTGAATGTGAGTCTCCAACTTTCTGTTCAAGCACTGCCTAGTCTTGGCGTTTCCAAGGTCGCGACGTGACGCACACGTGCGCGCTTGGGACAGTTTATTCTGCCAAAAGACTAAAGATTATGATCACGAAGACTTGTAAGTGAACGTTCATGCTGCCAAATCGATGTTGATTCGGAAGCTCTGGGATGCCCAGACCAGAACAAAAATAGCCACACCGATCACCGGTATGGTACTATTACTCTCAAAAACCTTCATCCAAACCTTCGTCAAGTGCTGGTAGTCCGAGCGCATCGCAATAGTGAGAGGTACAACCAAGCTAATCGCCAAAGAACCATAGACTTACGTCAAAGCCGCAATGCAAAAGCCCAAGTAAGCGAGACAAACTCCCCAAACATCTACACTCGATCCATCCGGCTCCTGATCCACGGCTCATACTTCCTCCTCGTCTCTTCGTCACCGTAGATGTCAATGTCAAACCCGTCATCCGCAACCATCCTCTCCATTTCCACGCGCCTTTTGCTCTCTTCTTCTTTCTGCGCTGTCACGACCGTCGCTTCTGTTACCCCCGCCACACTCTCCTTATTGATCTCATCCTCAGGTGCATGCTTGGTATGCGGCCCTAGAAATGGATGTTCCAAGCCCAACCCCTCCATCTCTCGATGCACTCTGATCCTCCACTCTTTGAACGCCAGCCCTTTAGGACACTGGTCGAAACGCAGATGCCGATATACAAAAGCGTCCTCTGCTTGCCAACTCCGCTCGTTCGTCTGAGCTAGTTTCCGCCATGCGTCGATATCTTGGAGGTCTGGATATTTCGGGGCGAGTTGAAGTGCCTTATCTAGTTGATCCTTGCGCCGCCCTGAATCTTTCTTTCGATGGTCATTCTTTTTGGGAGGTACTGGCGCTTCCACTTTCGGTCGTTTGTTGCGGTCGGCGTCGAACACGCTCGGACGCGGCGGGCGGGTATGCTCGAATTTCGCCTTCTTTCCTGGCCCTTGTGCATGCTCGGGCCTTCTGTTACCGGGTTGATTTCCTGAAGTCTTGTCATACTCGTCCGGTGCCTGGACCTCACCCCCAGCCATCGAATACTGCTCATCTTGAGTGTCTTCCCACTTCCTCCTCCTGTTCCTTCCTTGCGCAGGTGCCAAGTCTCCAGCACGTCCTCTGACTGAGGTCGCGCGTCCAGCCTGCGCCCTTGCGTCTCCTACGTTCTTCGCGCGATCGGGATGTACGAAAGCCATGTCTAAGTCTGTGCACGTAGTAAATATCGTTGCGTTGAAGATGTAGCGAAAGGCGCGTGTTGTGAAAGTAATAAGAAGTGGTATCTGTCGGGTGAGTGTAGGAGCGTTCAGTATGGTAGTTGCGGCAACTTACGACTCTTATTCCAAGTGCAAGCGCTCGACGTGTTCGCAGACAAGGCATCCGCAGTGAATCGTGACTTCCAAGGTTGTGACCCACCTGCTCTTGTGGTTGCACTACCCTCGCTCGCCAGGCACCAAGCAACAACGTGACAACAACCTCTCTAGTCGCATAAATGACAAGGAAACATTAGTAACGTACCGAGTTGATTCCAGGTATCTTCTTTGTGACTGACGCCTTTTTCTGTCCGGCAATGTTGTGGTTGTGAGTTAACGTAGGGTGTGAGTGTACCTACCAGATGGACCCTGAAGAGCGCGCTAGCAGCGGATTGGCTGCAAACGCAAGCTGGAGCCGAAAGAGGAAGCCACGCGGTGTTGTATGAGTCCGAGGCATGTGATGACTGTACAGACTCAGACAGAAGAAAGCATGGAAAGCTTGAGAGTCATGAAGCCTATTGACTCCAACACACATCGCACGAACCATCCACGCAAAATGCGATCTTGTAGAACGTTGAGGCTAGCCTAAGAAACTGCCAGGCCAGCCACACATCATTAAAATATCTACAGCCATGCTCATCAACACTTATCTCCCCATCCATCTCACAATGAGCATATCGAGTCTCTCCCCTCCATGGCTCCGATATCAGTGTAGATAGAGAAAGATGTAAAACAAGGAAAGCTCAACGAGGGAATCACAGCTATACATGCGAGGAAAATGCAAAACCGAAAACGCCCATTTAGTCTCTAATCAAGTGAGAAAAAACCGCAGACAGGGAATAAAGCGTAGTAGTGGTAGTAGTAATGTGTGGATAAGGAACATTGTCAGATCGCTAGCATAATGCGAAACGTGACAGGAAAGAGAAATATGATCGGTTATTTACAAAAAAAGAGTCGTAACGGCTCGTCAAAGTAGGAAAACAGTAAGGCGTGGTATGCAAACAAGTCCACCCGTCCTACCGACGCTGCAGGTACTACCTGGGCGGGCTCCTTGGACTTCGTGGACTCCGTGGTGGGCTCTTGGGCACTGCGGGCACGTCCGGTACATCTTCTTGATCCTGACGAAGATGTTCCGGGGCCTCGTCCCGTGTTATTGTTGCTCTCCGTATCGCGTTGCGTAACCGGCTCATGACCGCTGGCTGTGTATTGGGAGTGCCATGTTGGTAGCTGTTCCGGTGGCCTTGGAAGCTGTTACGGCTATGCGAAGACTCAAGTCGCGTCAACATAGCTGCCGATGTAAAGTCGTTGCTTTGCTCGAAACTAGGGCGTACACGGTCCATAGACATGCGTGCACGATCGAAGCTCGGTCGCACACGATAATCGGTCGACATACGGTGGGCGAGAGGAGGAGGAGCTTCCGTTGTGGGTGCGGGTGGAAGACCTTCCGTAGAGCGGCGGAAGGTGTAGTCGGTGCTATTACTGCCATTTTGACTTCTTGGGTTATGCGTCGTAGCCGTCGGGGCGACTGATGGTGGATAGATGGGACGCACGTCTTCATCGGTAGCATCGGCGTTAGCGGCTTTGTACTTTGTAGCGTCGGGTTCCGACTTGTTAGAGTCTGACTCACCAGCCACCTTCTCGGGCGGTGGAGGAAGGTAGGCGTCAGTGTCTCTAAGGTAGTCGAATTTACCTTGCTTGACTTGCTCTCGGATGATGTCCGCGTCGAGGGGGAAGTACATTTTCTGCACAACCTTGAAAATGAAGCGCGGAAGTAAACAAGCTATCGTAGCGCAGAGGACGTAAGCCCAGAAATTAAGAGTACCATATGCTTCGGCACCAGCTTTGTAGAACTGAGCACTCGATGTGAAGGAGGTGTACACTCCGGTCCAGAACCAGATGAAGAGAGTACTGATGACGACGATGAGGACCATGAGCCAATCCCAACGGTAGGTGTTGTACAACACGTAAATGTTGGCAGCGCAAACGGCGGTAGTCGCAGCATAGATACCCATGCGTCGGAATTCAGCCAGGTCCAGTCCGTTGGAAGTCGCGAAAGTAGCGGGTGCAAAGATCTCATACAAGAAGAAGAAAGCGACCGCGGATTGGTAGATACCGTCGACCATGTAAGCCCTGGAGAATGTTAGCAATCTTTCATACGCTCTGAGAATACTGTACTTACCAGAACTTCGGCTGGCTCCATTCCTTCCGCTCGATACCACGACGGTACAGCTGTGGAACGGCCAGAGATACTCTATCATCGACATCCTGATCCAGAACACCCATGACGATAACAGGGAGTGACGTAAACGCCAAGTTGAAGAAGATAATGTACGTGTAGTCGAAGATATACTGGCTGTCGAAGTTGGTGTAAATCTGGTACCAGAAGAGAGAGAACGTCCAGATGATGTTCTTGTAGAAGAAGTTGGCAATCGTCTCTGCAAGTCTGCGGTAGGACCATCGACCATGAACAAGCACTAGACGAGTGAGGAAGCGGAATTGACCAATGGCGTAATCAGAGGACATGACGGCTGCGCGTCCCTCAACACCAGCGATACCGACACCGACATGGGCTTCTTGAATCATAGCGACATCGTTGGCACCGTCTCCGATAGCAAGAGTGAGACAGTCCAGGCCGGTCTTCACCATATTGACGACAGCTGCCTTCTGACTGGGACTGACTCTGCAGCAGAGAACGGACCGGCATCGCCTACACAGAAGAAGGAACTTTCTCTTTACCGAATCATCCAGAGCCAGCTTGAGAGTATCTCCGTCAATGATGATGGCATGCGTAGGTGGTGGAGGTTCGTGATCGTTTTGAGCGGCGGCTAGCTCTTCTTCAGAGCCTTCCAAGCCGAAGATCTTCAACTTCTCGTCAAGCTGGGCTTCCACGGAACCGATGTTGTCATCGGTAACCTTGAGAATGATGAGGTCCATGTCGTTATCGAGTAGGTTGCAAGAGAACCCAATGTTGATGGCTGTCTCAACTTTGTCACCCGTTAGGACCCACAGTTTGATACCAGCTTGACTGAGGAGAGAAATCGACTCTGGCACACCGTCTTGAAGTCGATCTTCGATGGCAGTTCCTCCGATCAGCCACAGGTGGTTTTCGATGCGATCAGAGACCTCTTCCAGCTTATCTTCACGCCCCTGGATAGCGTTGGCAGCGATGTCATAATCCCTGTTCCACTCTTGATATTCCTCTTCGGAAACCTCTCTTTGAGCGATGCACAGTGTTCGGAGTCCTTCTCGTGCAAACATTTCCAGGTGTTCACCGGTGTCGGCACGGAGTTGTCGCTGCTCATTGGGGATCAATCTCGAGTAGATCATGCTGTCGGCTCCCTTGCAGAAGAGGACGATTCGGTTGTCGGGCATTCTGATGATCGCGCTCATGCGCTTCCTGCTGGAGTTGAATTCCAGAGTATTGAGAACCTGGTATTTGCGCTCTTCTCCCAAAACATTGACAACGAGACGGTCGTCTTCACGGCCTACGAATGTGAAGCCACAGTCGCGAGCAGTGGCGACAAGTGCAGCTTCGTCGGGCGATTGTGCTTTGAACTCGATCTTCGGTGGGTCGCCTGGAGTGCGTTCGGTAACAACAGTATGACAGAGGGCCAAAGCGATCATGAATTCCTCGTTGGCTCTCTTCTGTTCCATTCCAGAGTCTCCACGCAGGTCGTCGACATAGTCCGGGGCAATGAAGGTCAGGTCGTCGTCCCACAAGTAGGGGTTGTTGTGCATCTTGCGGATCCCCTCGAGCATCCGCACACGGTCGCGTGCTATCTGTTCGCGGGCTTTGGCACCCTCCACTTCGACGTTGATACCCTGTCTGCGTTGCATACCTGCTTGAGCCTCCGTGTACGCTTCTCCGTAGGGCACACCATTGATGGTCGCCTTCTTGAACTCCATGACGTTTTGTGTGAGCGTTCCCGTCTTGTCCGAGAAGATGTATTCGACCTGACCCACGTCGTCGGAGATGTTCCAAGACTTGGGCGTACATGGGTAATCGAGCTTTGCGTAGTACATGTGGATGTCGCTGTAGATGAAGAGGGCCTGCAACGTTCGAATGATTTCCAAGGTGATGTAAAGAGAAATGGGAACCAAATTCTGGAAGAGAATAACGGCAGCCCAGAACGCAATGACACCGTCTGTGGCAGGGTTACCTCCGTAGGACCCATATTCGAAGAAGGAATGGGTGGTGTCGTCCCGGGCCCATGTGACCCCAAGCACGATTCCAGAAACCAGACACATGGCGGCCAGGATGAAAAAGTTGTATACAACGTTCCAATTAAGTTCTTTTGATATCCTGGCTCGCTTGCTAGGCGTGATACCAGAGTTGATCATGATCTTTGTCTCTTCTCCGGTAAATACGACAACGCCCAGCACCCACTCAGTGTTTCGAAGTTGGCAGCCACGGAGGATGAGGTTGTTGATAGAGATAGGCTCGACCATCTCGTACGGCGGTGCTTCAGGGTCCTTTGCATTGTGCTGCTGCCATCTGATGGCTGCGCTGTACGAGTAGAGGTTCGAGTGGGCGCCTTCGCTCTCGATGACGAAGTCGGCGCGTTCGCAGTGTCGAGCGTGTCGCACTTCTCGGGTGCAGTGCAGTGCGTTGCGCACCTTGAGGTTCGTCTCACCGTCCAAGTTCTTCGTCTCGACATAGCACGCGCCGTCGTCGGAAGAGGTGGAGAGAACAATGACGTCGGCGGGGATCTCCTCGTCGTTGTACAGGCGCACAAAGTCGCCGACCTGAACGTTCTTCCAGGCGTCCTTCTTGAAACGTGCCTTTTCCGGGACCGTCTTGTTCGGGTTCAGGACGCTTCCCCAGAACTTCTTTTGCACACCGGGATTGGCGTCTGCACCGCGGATCTTGTCTCCTTCTCCTGGCCCGGAAGTCAATGGAGGGGATTGCGCTGGGGACTGGCCTGGGAGCGGTGAAGGCACGGGTGTCATCTGGATGTCGTTCTCGCCGCCAAAGTAGGATTCCCTGTGCGATGCGATGGATGCTCTGCGGGTCTCGTGCGAGGGGCGCGTGCCGTCGACAGCGTTGTCGTCGCCGCCTTTGCCCTTTGCACCCTTCTTGTTCTTCGCGTTCTTCATCAAGCGCCATGTTGAGATTATGCCCTTGGTGGTAGCCTTCTTGATCCTCCGCCATAGCGAAATCGAGTCCTCGGCCGTGTTTACGTTGTTAAAGTCGACGAGTCGGTGGACGGGCGCGTTGTTCAGCTCGTTGTCGAGGACGGTTCTCCGCCAATCTTCTACTCCATCCTTGATGGACGTCACGACGAGAATGACGATGAGGGGTACTGCGTTCAGCGCAGGATTACTGGCGCCGAAGATTGAGAAAATCTAGACAGTCATGTTAGTCTGGAGGTGTCGGAATTGTCAGAGGGGGTGGTACGCACGCCCAGGATAATGATAAACAAGAAGTAGACGTTGGCGATGTTGTGGAACTGGAACCACAGGTTCTTGGGTATGAAGCTGAGGGGCGTGTATTTGGCGGTTCTTATCTTGTTGCGGGCGTAGTGTGCGAGGGGCTGGCCTTCTTCGTCGCGCTCTGTTTGGGGCAGCGGCACGTTGAAGTAGACTCTCCGGCCGGAGTCTTCGTGGTCGGCGCCTGCATCTGAACTCTCAGGGGACTGGTCGTGGTCGAGCGGCGGCCCGCCTTCTTTGCCCAGCGAGTCTCGCTTCTCGCCGCCAGAGCCTATGCGCCGGTGCAGGCGCTCCTTGAGCGAGTGTCGCTTGTTGGCCGCTTTGATGCCGGTTGCGCGGTGTGTTGCCCCTGCGTGGCTCCCGTCAGCGCGTGCTCTCAACTCTGTGCGGTCAGCGGGTGGTGTCACTCACAACGTATGCGCTTCTGCGGATGTGACACCTCGGTCTCATTGGGCTCCATGTAGGGTTCCAGCGTCATGGTGCCTGTCGTCGGGGAGGCTGCGGCGGTGCGAGGGCGGCGACGGCCTGAGCCGGGAAGGCTCTACGCGGCGCGGCAGGCCAATTCGATCGTGTCGGACGCGGGTGGGAGGCGACGGGTGCAGTGCATGTAGTGCCGGGCGGGTGTTGAGGGGCGGTGGGAGCGTGGTGGTGTTGTTGTCGCGGAGGGTGAGAACAGATGGGCGCCCGTGTAGTCGGATATTAAAAGATGCCGGACGAACTTGCACGCAGAGGCGGAGCGACAGGCAGGCGATGCGACGGGCGACTCCAAGGTTGATTAGGCGGTGCAGTGTCGTCAGTACACGATGAAGCACGAGGGGAAACAGCGGAGCGGCAGGTACTTGGACAGACCCTGACAGTGATGAATGGATGGATGCGATGCTTGCCATGTGCTTACAGAAGCATCGGCGCGGGAAGCACACGCCTCGCACTCCCTCGGCCGGCCGCTACGGTCTTAACAAGATGCGAGCCTAGTTGCTCTTGGAGGACCCGCACTGCGATCTGATCATTAAACGCACCAACACAGGAGCATTTATTTCTGTCGCGCGCGTTGGCGACGCGTGGCCTGGCCGCTCCAGCACAGAGGCAGTAGACACAGTGCACATCCCCATCTCAAAGCTCGGCAACAGTGCCTCAGAGGGAAGAGAACACATCCTCTGCAACGCATGGCCCCAGCATGTCAGCAGTCAGCACTTGGGCTTGCCAGTGCCAGTTCATGGACTAATCGCAGCGGAGCTTCCGCGGGCTACCGCCAGCAGCCCTTCTAAGCAGGTCGAGTGGAGCATCATCTCAGCCCTCTGTCCCTCGACTCCGCTGTGCATGGCGTAGCCGGGAGATCCTCAGTTCCGTGCTTCGTACAACTCACTTTTCACAGCTGGCACTCGGATTAATGAAGCGTCTAGAGCCGCATCCATGTGCTTAATATAACACCTCTAACGGTGCAGGCCTTTGTACCTCAGATCTGATACTGCCCCCAAGCGCAGTGAGGGCAATGCGAAACCGTTGAAACAGACGTCACCACTCTGTGAGGGCGGCATCGCTCGGATGCGAGCTACTTTCTGCAGGTGAAAATGGACCTCCGTCCAGCGACATTCGGATGCCGGCCAATGCGGATTCCGATGCATGTCGTCAATGGCAAAGAATCTAGCCCGCCTGCACGCCCTGCGCCAGGCAGCGAGGCGTCCACGGTGGAATGCGCCCAGATGCTTAGCCCCGGGTCAATTCAGGTTCGTCGACCTGGCACGTGACAGCGTGCTGCGAATTGTGGAATTATTCCCGTCCCGGCTCGAGGCGCCTCACGCGTCACGACGTTACACCACCAGGCACCCCACCCGTCTACACCACCACCCCTCTATTATTCTCCGCCATGAAACCCCAAAAGAAAAGCATCCGAGACTTCTTCTCGCCCGTTTCCAGAACCCCTCCGCCAGCTGCTAGCCCGCAAACCACGCTGCCTCAGAGAAGTACACGCTCCCCACCAATATTGCTGCCCCAGGCTAACCGCACTCCCGCCGCAGATGCAAACAATGCGCCTACCCGTCAGTCAAACCCGCCAAATTCGTCTGGAGTGGCACAGGACGCAAATTCACATGCCGTCCATACCCCGCTTTCCTCGTCAAACACACCCGTGTCCAGCGCGCCGTCTACAATGAGAGCTGCGAGTGCCGATGCGCCGCCTTTGAACCCCTCCCAAACATCCGCAAACTCGGGCGCAAGCAAGCGCACCACGTCCAATGGCCAGCAGGTGGTTCTCGACTCGGACGATGATTCTCTACCAGACCTTGACTTTGGTCTACCCACCCCCAAAGTCAAGACCATCGTCACGACCACCACCACACGGTCTAAGCGCATGTCCGAAGACCAAGAGAACGGTCTACAAAAGCCGGCCAAGAAGGCCAAGGATAACAAGAACAAGTTTGATGTACTTGTAAAGACGGCCCACAAGAATCTCGAGACAGAGCGGCAGATCAAGGAGCACAGCGCGCTTCTGGACCAGTCCCTTGAAGAACACGCAGATACTACCCTGGCACTCAACGAGGAACTACTTGGCCAAGCTGTGGACGATGATGACGACCCAGAGAAGGCGCATCGCCTCCTTCAGGCCATGCAGAGAACGAATGCTACACAGATGGAGAGCGTCTACCATTTCTTCCAGGATGACTCGGACTCAATACAAGCGCAGCCCAAGTTCCCCCTCAGCAGCCTGCCTAAGCATGGATGGGCCTCGATTTTTCAAGGTGGGATTGTTACGATGACGACAAGCTGGATCTATTGCTAACATGGTCAAGACTCCCACGCCAGGGACCAGGCTTTCATGACTGGCTTTGCACAACAAATCTTTCGAATGCAACAACTACCCGAAGAACTGGCTTCCTGGATGATTGAATGTAGTGCGTATCGCACGAACTTGATAAAATGTCCCTGCTAAGAACTGTAGTTTCCCAAAGTCGGAATGAGGCACTTAGCTGCAGATACATTGAGATCTTGGAATCAGAACCTCACAACAAGCACCTCCGTACGCTGCTTGATAACGACAGGCTAGATTCTTTATTCGGGGCAATGGGTGCCAATGCAACTCAACTCAAGGCGCAGAGTGAACTAGTCCCAATTTCAGTACCACGAACCGAAACTAAAGTCTTGCTTCCTCCGTCACTGGTCTCTGCCGCCAGACTACTCCAACATGCAGCGCCAGTGTAGGTGGACTATATACATGTATGGTACTTTGCTGACTTTGGTAGGCTACGTTCGAAAGCTCGAAGGCGTGCGCTCTCTATTCTTTGCCACGTGTGTCTGGATGACCGAGTTGTTGCAGATGCTCATATATTACACATCATCCAGGACGCTATGGAAGCTCTCATATGCAACCTTGATAATCACAAAATGACCTCCACCGTAGGGAGTCCTCCACTGCAACACGATACCCAGGCTCTAATCTCTTCACAGCTTAGCGATGTCATCTCCCAACTACTTGTCAAAGTAACGCATCCTCTGCTTCAAAGGAACCTAGTCTGTTCGTTCCCAGCGACTTCACCATTAACGGCATACCTTCAACGCCACTTGGCTCTCGCGTTATTAGTCTACCCAGTACCAGTCGATGTAGAACTCTCAGACCCCAAGCTGCCTGACATGATTCACCAATACCTGGACAAGTCTTCGAATTTCCGAATAGACAAGGACACCGACTACGAGCACCTCACCGCACGTTTGACATTGCTTGACATTGCCATTGGGCCTGGCTTATTGAACGTCCCGTATCAGCCCCTATCAAGTCCAACAACGTCAGAAACCGGCTCGTCTCCAGTCAGGGCTCCAGTGCCAGCGTCATCAGAAGTCAAAGATTTCAACAACGAGGTGGATGCGCTTGCTCGGCAGTTCCAGCTACTCAGCAACTCCATCGTCGAGGCTGGCGCTGCGGTGGATCTTACCATCATGGACGCCAAAGATTCTATAGAGAGACTACGGGCACGACTAGAGCACGCTGTGCGGATAGGCGGAAAGAAGGTCTACAACGTCTTTGGTGATGAAGATGAACACACAAAGCCAAATCTCAGAAGGTTCTTTAAAAGCACGAGCAAAGACGCGCCGAAGAAGTCTATCTTCGACGAACAGGACGATGTAGCGGTATCACTAGCCGATGACTTGAAAGCCTGAACGGCCCTGTAAAGATGTTGCTCCGCAGACAAATTCAGATGATGCAACGACACTCGCATTGACAGAGTGTCAGTCTCAATAAACAACAATGTGCCAGTTTACCTCTCGTGGAAATTATCTCAATTGCAGAGACAACACCACCCTGCGCATCTTGACGAACCTTCATTGGAAATTATTGAGAATAAATATGAGATGATCTATCAATACAGATATGTAACGATAATTCGAGATCGTATTGAAAATTGTCATACGATACAGCGCGCGATCCTATAGTTCTGTAACGCACCTGTGAAAGCGAAGTTCGCATCACCATCGGCACAGCACTTGGCGCCCTTCTCCGCGCGACAATCTTGGGACTTCAGGGGCGATCTACAGGAGAAGCCAAACCGGCGTGTCCCATTGCAGCGCGTCCGTCGTCTTCGCAGACTACCCAATGCGAGAAAACCATGCAATTTCACCTACTGCAATCCTTCGAAAACTAGCGTCTTAGCCAAAGGGTCTAGACAGGAGAGAAAAATCATGCGCGCAGCTGTATCCGTGAGGATGCTCGGTCGCGGCCCACAAGAAGAGATTCATCTCCTCCTGTCACATTGCATGGCGGGGCGAGGACGCGGCTTACTCATCTAACTACTGTACGTGCGTGCGTGAGGCGGGTTCTTGGCTGAGAGACCCGCAGGTCTTGCTCATTAAGAACACGTGTGCAGAGATACTCGTACAGATGGATTGCAAGGCAGGCAGGCGGCACGGGTACGCTTCACGAATGGCAGATGCACCTGGCGACATGGGAAACAAGTCCTTCCAGATGCACGATGAGAGAGCTGTGGCGCATGCAGAATGCTGACTCGCTATCTGAGGCGGTGTGATGGTCCACTGACGGAACATGTGCAAGCTAGCAGGTTGCGTACCGTGGAAAGCTGGGAACGGCCTCGGCCAGGGTGCGAAGCGAAGAAAAGGGAACGGGGGACCTCAAGATTTCGCGCATCTCGAAAGAGCGCGAGTGTTTGGGATGATACGAAGGAACCAGATTACCTCTGCCTTGAGCACGTAGACAGTTCCTGTCCGATCCACGCGCCTTTCCTAGCCCTAACAAAGCGACCGAAAATGTCGCGCATATCGAGCCTACATGCCGAAGCCCACAACCCGTGACCCATCCCATCGCAGGCCATCCCCATACAAACTTCACCTGAAATAATCCCGGTGGTAAAACATCACCTAGCCCCGTTCTGCCACCACATGCATGCAGGTATCCTTGGTCTCGGTAACGGTTCTTGTTATTTCGGATAGCAGTTTCCGCGTTTGAACTAGATGCCGTTTGCCGATGAACGGTTTGGCGGCTTTGCGGGATGGTCCTTGTAAAAGTAAATGCACTGCTGCACTCGATGAGAATGCGGATTAGCGGCCTTTGTCCGCGGCGTGTGGGCGAAGAATGTGACAGTGACAGGTGTAGTGAGGGCTTGGGGAGGCTTGATCTGTTTTGGTATTTTGGTGTGTTTGGGGGTTGTGTTTTAGGTCGTGAGTGCGTGGGCCGGAGATGGGAGAATCCAAGCATTGTCATGACCATGTCAACTTGTGATGTCGAAGACTCATATACTATTTCCATGCGGGTCGCGAATCTAAATTAACGCGTGGTATCCAGATCTATATACACAAAGAACGCTAAATGCAGAAACGATGCAAAGCTGAATGAAACCAACAAAGCCAGTCGTAGGGAGTATCAGCGCTGCTGAGTCTCCGTCATTACTTCCACATCACCAGCTGTAGACTATGGAGGGAAAGAAAGAGTCGTTCGATTGGACATGTACGTTCGTTGGCTTCGCTCCCGGCTCTTCCAAAAACCCCTTCTTTTTTTTATTTTCAAATCATTCAACCAACTATATTCCACCAAGTCCGTTCTTCTCGTCAATGTGTCTGTAGCGCTCCTGCTCCATGCGGTACTTGAGAACCATGGCAACGCAGAGTACGAGGATCATGTCCACGCCGACGATGCCAAAGGCGGCAGTGAAAACGCGGTCCAGGTACGTGTTGGCGAATGAGGAGAACTTGCCGATGCAACCCCCCTTCTGAGCGGCGACCAGTGTGTTTTGGCATGTGCTGTCCTGGACGAATGGAGGGGTGGTCGAGTTCACGTAGCCGCAGCAGTCGAACTGTTCCTCGTCAGCTTGTGTGCACACCGGCGTGGACGTGCGGAAAATGCGCTTCTAGTGCTGACGCCAGTCATGGAGGACTCACCTTTTGCTGCAGGAGACTCTGAATAAGCGGCGACTCACGGCCCCAGAGTACACTGAGGTTGGTGCGGGTTTGCAGAGTTTCCACCCAGATGGCGATACCGAGTCCGAGTGTGAATGTTGCACAGATGACGACTAGCCAGCCCTGAGTACGAAGCCAGCCTCGGTTTGTTGGAAGGAAGAGTGCAGGGAGAGACAGCAGGAATGTGACGAAAACGAAGATGGCATTGACGACGCCAGCTGGAGAAGGTGTTAGTTGATGTTTCTTGAGACTGCATGTTCACAGGCGATGCGTGGGACGATGCGCCGCCATAGTAGTGCCAGAACATCGATTCCTTGAACACCACCCTTATCGCCCATTCGTGAAAGTCGTACCTGTCAATGGACACTGGCCGAGCAGCAGGTTCTGTGTGACGTTGTCTACGGTCGGAGTGGCGCGCATCGATTGCTCAGATATGAGGGAGAAGCCCAGCAACAGTCCTCCACATCCGGCGAAGAGGAAATCCATGCCCACAAAGGCCATCATCAGTTTGGTCGGCATCTTGACGGTAGTGCGATTTGACGGAAGAGACTGGAGAGAAAAGAAGAATTGGACAAAGAATGGAAGTCGAGCGCAGCGGAGCCGTCCGGCGTACTCTCGTGAACTACGTCGATCAAAGCGATCAACGCGAATTATTAGATAGAAAGTAGCGAAGAGAAGAGAAGGTGGTAGCAAGAGCAGCGCTCGCGCGGAAAATGCATGGCATTGGGGACACGGGGGCCTTGAGCATTAAGAAGCACTGCGCAGGCGCGTCGCAGTTGGACCACGGCGATGCGTGGGTGGTTTCAGTAGTGTTGGAGCATGGTGGGCGGCCAATCACGGGCGCGAACGGGCATAATGGTTCGATGTTTTGGCGCTGCGACGTCGGTGAGCCACAGACGAGTGGATCGCGGCGTGAGGATGCGACGAGAAGTTTGGAACATTCATCAGGAATTACTTGAGATGCAGTGCGGCATTTGGCTGTCACGAGGCGCGGTGGTGGTGAGTACCCAGCTGCTGCTGCCTCACGCAGGCCGCCACCAACAGCGCAGGCGTGCGGGACGAGGGAGCAGGCTAGACCGTCGCTGCAAGCGAAGCGAGATCAAACGGGGAAGGTGCGTAAGGGAGGTGCTTGCCTGGTGCTGGCTTGGTGCAGCCGCGGCTTCCAGCACGACCCACGCAGCACCACCGTCGTGGAATGCTCTGGAGTGGCATGAAGTGCATGTTTGGCGGATGGACAAGAGCAGCGGGCGGCAGAGTTTGGCATCTCGTCCGGATGCCTGTCTGCTGCGCGTGTACTGTCTTCTGTCGCCTGGGTAGTGTGAACTGTAAGACGGACAGGAGTGGGAACCGACATTCACCAGTTGACCGTCAATCTGACTTGAGCGGGACTAGCGGCGGGATCCCACCAATCAACATGAGACGAAACAGCGGGGCCTGCTCAGCTCCCTCTAGCGCAGCCCTCGGCCTGAGAGGGACGGCGGACTTTTCATGTGGAAAGGCCGCTGCTGTTCATCTCCAAAAGCGACCTGACAGGCCAAATTCTAGTGGGAAGGGGTCAAAGTTAGTATCAGCACGACGGGCGCGCTGCGCTGCAATCTGCCAGTTCATGCGTGTCGCGACGGCGGCGAGCGAGGCTGGCGGCCAGGGCAATAATTGTCGATCTCCGACTCAGAGCTGTGACCAGGGTTGCGCTCAAGCGCATCCGCCCCCAGTTGTGTGGATAGTTGAGGGCCTGCCCGCACCAAAGCAGCCAAAGCAGCCGTCGAGAGAAATACTTGACCACTCCCGCCGTTTCATTCCCAATACCGTTCGTCCCTTTCCTTCCTCAGACAGCTCTCGGGCTATAACACACCTGCACCACTCCGTCTGTCCCTGCGTGCCCGCCAAGCTCCACAAGCTCAGGGTTCACGAGACCACCGCTGCCTCTTTTTGCACGCTCCCAACGGCGCGCCAAAACAAAGCATCGCCGCACCTGATCCCCCAGGCCGTCTAACAGGTACGTCGCCAGTATCTTTTCTATCTCCTGCGAGGCCTGCCGCGCCAGGTCACGCTCCCCGGCACCAAGCCCTTCGACCAGCACCCCCCAGCCACTGGCGCAGCACGGGCCCCCGAGCAATTTAGTGCCTTCCACCGAGCACAGTGCGACCAAGCGTTTCCTCCCCCGCGCACCTTTTCCTTGCATTCCTGCTGCGCCATCAAAGGGACCAGCCCCGATCTTTTAACAGGCCGCGCTTCCTTTTCCTATTGAGGGCGTCCTAAGAGTCTAACCCAACTCAAGCTGTCTGCAGTTCCTTCTGTAACATTTTGCGCGTCTGCCCAAACCACGCAAGAACGCCTGCCAACTCCCCACACTCGGCCCAACTCAGCTTAGGGCCTTCGTCCCCCAAACACTGCGGGTAACCAATCTTTGTCGCGACTCACCACCATGGCCAGCGAAATCACCGAGCACGACCAGAACGCGTCGCCGTCCGTCCACGACGACGGCAATGGCACCATGGGCATGGAGAACCGCGGCGTCAAGCGTGCGCGCGCCGCTGCCGACGACGACGACGACGACGATGACAAGCCCGGCCGCGAGCGAAGAAAGATTGAGATCAAGTTCATCCAGGACAAGTCGCGTCGACACATCACCTTCTCCAAGCGCAAAGCCGGCATCATGAAGAAGGTACGTTGGTGCCCCCGTCGCGCGCATCGTGGTGCATCTGCTCCCGCGTCGCTTGAAACCGTTGCCTGCACCGAGCGCTCCGCTAACCTCCACCCCAGGCCTACGAACTGTCCGTCCTGACGGGCACGCAAGTGCTGCTGCTCGTCGTCTCCGAGACTGGCCTCGTCTACACCTTCACCACACCCAAGCTGCAACCGCTAGTCACCAAGCCCGAGGGCAAGAACCTCATCCAGGTACGCTGCAACCACCCACGCGCCTGTCGCATTGCATTACTAACCGCGCCCAGGCCTGTCTCAACGCCCCTGAGCCGTCAAGCGGCGACGCGAATGGCGTCGACAACGACACTGTCGAATCGCCAGAGGACAACCACGCCCAAGTGCCGCCTGGTCAGCCACGCGGAATGCCGCCCAACAACCAGCCCATGCCCCAAGCCTACATGACGCCCGAGGCTGCCCTGCACTACCAGAGCTATCTCCAACAACAACAGCAATCAAACCAGTACCCCATGGCGCAGCAAGGCATGCCCCGCCATCCTGGCGGCCACTACCCCCAGGACCAGAAGCTGGGTTAAACGTAATACACACATACTCTACCACTTTGGTAGCAGGTCACTACTCGGAAGGCGCATAGTAACTGGATAGGGATACCCACATAATGGCAAAAGTAATCACGGTGTCGCTCAACGACCAAGACGCAGGTGCATGCATGCGAGTTCGCATGCGACGGTGTAGCGAGTGAGAAGATATGATGTGGGCACGCAATGTTGGCGGGGATGCACTTGCACTTCCGGACGACTGTACGTCTTACGTGGATATTGGCGCAGTCTGTGGTTTCTTTATTCTCAGTCGTTTGTTCTCGATCAACATATCTAGCATCTCCTGTCACATTTACCAGGCGCGGTGTAGACCAGATCTATAACTCTACTCATAGTCTCGGTCCAATCCAGCACCTTAATTCACTCCAAGCTAGCCTCGTGGGCCGCTATCCGTGAGGGCTTAGTCGGGTCTGGGCATTGCTTCCTATTCCGTCGCCCGAACTTGCCTTTCTGGGAGAATAAGCTTGCCACCACAACTCAAAACCCTGAAGTGTCCGCGGAACCACTCCTTGAAGTGATTTCTACAAAAACTCACGTTATCCGCTGTTTCGATTTCTCTGCCGTGTCTGGCTCACCGGTGCAAGAACTTATGTCCACACGCATCACTTGACTCCTCTCAGATGCCCTATTACCTCTCTCCACTGGACTGCAACGTTTGTTTCGCAGTGAAAAGCAATGTGCAACGTTGACCCCAGGCTCGTGCGCGACACCGATGACGGCTCGATAACGGCTGGGAGCTGGGAGCAAGGCTCTTGTCGCGTACCGGCAGGACTGAAGTAGAGACTCGAGAACACCCTCGAGGAAATGTGACATCCGCAATCGCACGACCATGCCCGCCTAGCGCGCCGTCCTAGATCACACCATGTACGTGGAACCACGTACGTCCTTCGGACTCGATGTACCGGGAGGCTTTGCAGAGCCAATGCAACACTGGTACCGTCTACCTCGAGGTTTGCTTTACCTACTGGCCATAACGACACTCGGTCACGATCACGGCAATACCCTCCAAATGCATGACTACGTGACTGCGGCATCTGGCTAATACGTCGCACCAAGTGGCAGTCATGTAGCACATAACCAGCCGATGGATGCGAAAGGCGCACGCCACCTACTCCTTCGGAAGTATCTCGAGGGCTGGGGTACCTAGAAAGAGGTTGTTGATGAGATGCAAAGAGCGCCACAGTGGAGCGAATGAGGCTGTGCGAGTGTGAAGATGTTCTCGAGATGCCGCTGAGCGTAACTGATAACACGTCGTGCGATTCTGATATCGCTCTCATGTTGACATCACCAAGAAGATAATGTGTGTTTTACGTAGGGGAGAGATGAAAGTCTGTCGCGAGATACAGGTGGCCTCAAGACTGACAGCTGTCGTCATAGGGCTGATCCCAATTTAGTCAGCCAGCGGCTCTCGAAAATCACTGCAAGGTTACAACTACGGACCGCACCGCGGAAATCCGCCGAAGGATACCTACGCCGGGTCATGGACACAGCATCGATGCAGTGCGACTGAGTTCTTCACGCTTTGTACGCTGTCCTCTGTACGTCGGGTCGACATGGTGGAACTAACTAGCACTTAGCCTCTATGTCAATTGTGTAGCGCCTGTGTAGGCCTCCCGGGGCCATCTCATATCATTTTCTTGTCTTTGCGTATCTGCCGCAGATAAATACTCTTTCAACGTTGATTTTGGCTGTTGGTCGCTCATGTGCTACTAGACGCGTCATTTCGCCTCCCGGGTGCGGATGTCTTCCCGTAGATGGCCCCTTTACTTCTTTGAGCGGTCCCCGCATTTAGGAGAGCTAATGCCGGCTCTTAGGGAGGGTACGTTATAGGGATTGATCGTCGATGTTTTTTGTATGTTCGACGTGTATCTCTTTCTACCTCGACGGTAGGACTCGGGTCTTGATTAAATATGCCAACGGCTTATATTTCTGGCACTTGCCGATGACGACGCATTCAGAGTACACTTCATGGAATCAAAGTATATGAATTGGGTCTAGCTCAAATATACATCTGGTCACATGCTCCTGGTGGCTTCTTGCCAGTTCTCGGATCACACAACGGCGATTCATTCTAATTTTCTACGACTGATGGTCGAGAAAACGGTAGACAACGCGACACAACTTCGACATTTCTCTGTCGTTCCTGCTCTACGAAACAACCCGTGCTTTCTCGATCATATGTCAAACATCGATCAAGATACCAGAGTTCGTTAATCTCATATAAGTAGAAAGACCACCATTCCTGATGTACAGGGTCCGATCATAAGCATTCGAGTACCCGCATCTACTAACAGGCTTACTGGATCCATGAAGAACGTCCAAACCAAGCCGTGTATACTCCACTACAAGGCGGATCCCAAATTTCACTCGATGCGCATGTCTTGAACAGCTCCGTCGTGGCCATGTTGGGGTATTTGTATTTGGCTTCGTTGACAGCGTTCAAATTGTAGATCTCACTGTTCTGACCAAGCCTTGAGACTCAAGGAAGAATCCAAATAGAGCTTAAGAAAATGACAATAATGTGTATCGTGCACCTGTCTCTCAACCACCATTCCTTTTCCATGCCTTCGCGTCCCTGGCCGCAATGGTATGTCTTATGCCTCTTGCTGGCTCGACCCTATTGTGATCTTGAGAGATATTGTAAGCTTCCTTAGTACAAAATTTACAATGATCATGTTCTCGATTCCGTATACAAGACCTGTTGAACTGGGGAATATGAGTTGTGATGTTTGCTACCACCGAGTTAATAGCTTTATCGATAACCTGAAGCTTCAGCGCGTGGGGATTATATGCCACTGTTGCCTTCGTAGGCGCTTACGAAAGGAAGTATGGAGGTGTGAGTTCGGCTCCGGGGGTTGACAATTGCCTAGGTGGAAGATGTACAAGTGCGAAGATTTTATACACCCATCCCTTCCAGGCATTAGCAGCAGCACATAACTATAGTGGTGTACTTTAGTTGTTAAGTTAAGATTTTTCTGAGTTCCCATAGTTGAGAAACACTAAAGCCTAAGGCTTACTTCGGACACGTGATGGAAGATGTATAGGCTAGATGCTTCAAACGCCTGGAGACATCCCACGCGTCACAAAAATGCCATACGCGTGATGACTTAATTATTGCCGTCCCGGCGTTTGACGCGAGGACTATTGGCCACAATATCGTCTTTGACCCGCGTTTTGAATCGTGCTGGCTGCGCAAGCCTCGTGGATGTCTAGGCTAAGGAGGCCAAGGCTGACGCAGTGTGAAATGACCTGCAGGCCCAACTTCACATATAGACGTAGCTCCAGAAATGCGAGTTTCGTGACGTCCTGAAGTTGCTGTGGGGATGAAAGAGGAAGGTTAATAGGCTTGGCAGTTCGGACCCGTGGACGCGAAAGTGGACCGCGCTAGTGGACCGCGTCGCGTTTGCATGGGGAATCTCTGATGCACTGACGTCTGTGATGGACCTTTCTTCTGCCCAACGCACCGCAACCTCACCTCGCCCTCACCCCTTGGAGCCCGGCAAACGCTCTCCGACTGACGCTCCTTTGACAGATATAAGACCACCCAACTGCCTGCGCGCCTTCGCTCCTTCTACAACCACCTGCGCCGGGCATTGAACGGGCGCGACGGACCCTGCAGGATAGATAGCATCCCCTAGATAGTCACAAGTGTAGCCCTTTGCGCTCGCATAGAGGCTTTGAGGACAGTGAATGCTGAACTGCGCTTCGTCATCTCGGAGGGATTGTGAGCGGGGCGCCGTCCTAAGCAGGAAGGGCCTGGGTGAGGCATCATGGCGGAAATCCTCGAGAAGATAGAGTAAGTACTGATGCTTACCAACCCTCATCCCTATCAACTCGATCGCTTCAGGTCCGCCCGGAGTATTGCTACACGTACCCTCCTGTCGTTGCCAGCAGCTACATCCACATGCCAGACATGGCTAACCTTGTGTCTCACAGCGAGCTTCAACAGCTACCCGAAGCACAACATCTATTCTGCCCTCGAATCGGCGATGACGGATCAGTATACTACGACGAAGACGTTGCGGCATACCCGCCCGAAACCGATCCCACCGAACTCGCCGACCGCAAGCTTAAGCTCGAAGCCGCCGAAGACAGGAAATGGACCGCGCTCAAGGCGACCGAGATACTGGCATTCGACGGAGAGGAGGCAGCACCGCACAAGGAGTGGCTAGTCAGCCGGCTGAACAGCCTCATGCAGAGCTGTGATGTCTGTGTGAGGGTCTTCCACCAGAGCAGAGCCGAATGGCGAACTCGGCTGATCGACTCCTACGACGAGGACAACATTGGTGATTTCTTACAAGTGGTAGACAACCAATGCCTGGGTCGCATACAGAAGGGCTTGGACGATGCCAACGACATACTCAGCAAAGCCGAACCGAAGACGCGCTCAGTCCGACTGTTACCGAACGAATGCACATACGGCTTCTTTGAAGCACTCAGCTGCGACGCCTTAATACGAAACGAGGAACTCCTCCAGGGACACTTCGACGCACCATTCGACATGGTACAGACAAAAAAGCGATTAAAGGTCCAGACATACCTGCCTGCTATGACGAGATTCCTGTTCAGCAGAGTCGACAGACGGCACAAGTGGGCGACGGAGTCATGGTCAACTTTCAAGAGGAACATGCTCAAGTCGGAGTGGGATTGGGCTGTACGGGATTACGTCACGAGTGTCATGATGAAGGTTCAGATGAGCAACTTGGACTTGTCCATCGTACCGCTCTTCTGGGGCGGCATGCGGCTCATAGTAGCAAAGATGGACCGGGACTTGATCACGGACTCTCTACGGGGCCTCGATGGAGACTTCTATCGACTGATGCTTGATCACCTCTCACTGAAGTCTGAGGGCTTCCTCGATCTGATTGCGACCATGAAGCAGCTGCTGGAGAAGTCACCGATCGACTACTGGGACGGCATGAATGCTGTCACCCCTTCCATTGCCACAGTGGTAGAGCAGGTGTTTAATAGCCCTG